TTTCTAATGCTATAATATAATTATTGCTGTTATCTATGAAAGAAAGGCAGAGAGCTTTATAGTGTTTTTTTTTTTCAGATACCCAATTACAGTCAAAAAGTACTTAAACAATGCCAGCAAGAATGCAAGCTATGAAGGGCATAGGAGGCCATTTTTGTTATGTGAATAAATAAAAGTATTTAATTATAAATAAATGACAATAACAATTTTTTTTATTTAAACAATTTTTTGACAGATTCCTAAAATTCCTAAAAATGTGTTTTCTCTTTATTATGGCAGGTGGTCTAATAAATTGTTAAGCACTGTATGTTTTCATAGCATTCAGTTGGAACGTTTGTTTTAAGGACATTGGGCAGAATGTGGAATAGTGTGTTTTTGTCAATAAAATAAAAAAAGAAAATTGTTTGTTTTTAATCCGATGAATTGATTAATCGAAAAAATAAATAAATAATTGACCAACTAATCGATTATCAAAATAATCGTTAGTTGCAGCCCTAGTTATTCCATAAAGGGGTTGCTTAGTAATTTGATTATGAATTTTTTCGGGGTTACGGTTAAAACAGTCATTTACCATCATCTACTGGTGGTTTGGTTTCATATTTAAAAGTATTGTATTTTTCCCAACATTTTAAACTTGTATGTGTGTCAAAGACGAAAAAGGGTTTAAGCATTATTAAGGGTTTAAGCAGTATTAAGTGTAATACTGCTTTAAATTGTTGTTGTTTTTCCCCCCCAAAAATAAAAAGTTTTCTGTTTAATTTAATTGCAATTTTGTTTTTGCTTTTCTGAGCAAAAAAGTAAATATCATACATTTTCTCCTGATTTACAGAAGAGACCCACTAAAATGTCATTCAGTGTAACAATCTTGTCAGGCATATTTACAACAAAAATCAATTTATGATATATTAAAAGACTAATTAATTACTTTCACCCCAAATACTAATGAGTTGTAATTTGACATTTTTAAAATTTGCCACTATTCTAGGTTTTGCCCATTTGTCAGTAAGTAAATTTTTTACTCATTTAAAACACAATCAAATTTAATATGCTTCCTTATTCTTTTATATATTTTAATATGTTAATGTTTGAATTTTTACATAAATATTGTGTTACACTGAATGACAATGTAACATTATTTCAACCAAATTTTGACATTTTATTCTCCAAAAAGTTATTTGAAACCTTAAAAGTAGACACTTTACTTACATT